CCCTTGGACTATAAGCACAAACCACATCCCAACCAGCTCTAATACCCAATGATTTTGCAGCCTTTGAGGTAGCATGACAACTCTTACTAACACCAGGCCCCACATGCTACAGACATGAGGGGCATCCGGGAGTCAAACGTGCATGCTCTGACCTGAGGGCAAATCCCAGAGTTAAAGTTCATCACAACTTAATGAAAAATTTTTAAATGTTTATCACTTAGCCTAGAAATTTAGGGCAGGGGAAAGGGATGGTGAGAATTAAGTGAATTGATGAGTCCAAATGAGTTCTGGCTCATTAATAAAAATTCAGTTGCAACTCATCCTCTCAGGGTTTAGGTTTTAAGTCAACAAGTAAGATAAAAACAACTGAGAAAAGCCAAACCAACCTTGAAAATCTCTAGACTGATAGCTGATCAGGCTAGATCACTGGTTCTCAAATGGAAGTAATTGTGCCATCCCGTCAGGGGACATTGGCCAATGTCTGGAAACATTTTTGGTTATCACAACTGGGGAAGGGTCCTACTGGCATATAGTGGATCAAGGCCTGGGAAGCCAATCGATACCCTACAATGCACAGGGTAGCCCCACAACAAAGAATGATCTGGTTCCGCATGTCCACAGTGCTGAGGCTGAGAACCCAATGCTAGAAGATCAAGCAGTGAAAGGCAAGGCAGAAAACAGGAGGACCAGCTCCCGCTGGCTTCCACCATGGGCTGACCCCAGGGCCATATCATTCAGTGGGGTAGATTCATCTGCACTACTCAGATTCATCTCTCTCATTTTTTTCCCTCTCTCTTAGCTGAGCACTTAAGCTAAATATGTCTACAACATGAGCCCACTGCAGTAAAAATAGCTACCATTTACTGACTGTTTATTACTGTGTGCTGAGAAAGGTGCTAAATAATTTATATGCATTAATTTAACGAATACTACCAGCAACCATGAGATAGTTATGACCATTCCCATTTTACTGGTGAGGAAACTGAGGCTCAAAAGGGTTAAGAATTTGCCTAAAGGCACTCAGAGAATACAAAGGCAGAGTCAAAACATAAAATCCAATATATAGGGCACAGCCTGTGCCTCACCAGCACTTATTCTAGGCAGCGGTTCTCAACCTGTGGGTTGCGAACAATGAAAATACATCCTGCATATCAGATATTTACATTACGATTCATAACAGCAGCAAAATTACAGTTATGAAGTAGCAACGAAAATAATTTTTTGGTTGGGGAGTCACCACAACATGAGGAACTGTATTAAAGGGTCGCAGCATTAGGAAGGTTGAGAACCACTGTGGGTCTCAACTGCTGATGGTTCACTCACCGCCCACCCTGGGACATTTTGCAGTGTCTGAAGACATTTTTGGTTGTCACGACCCCTGAGGCAGGGATTCAGGGGAGAGGGTGTGCTACTGATATCTGTGGGTAGAATCAGGGATGCCACTATGATGCTAAACATTCTACAAGGTATAGGGCAGCCTCTACCACAAAAAATCATCCAACCCAAAATGTCAATGGGGCCAAAGTTGAGAACCCTGCTTTATACCACATCTCAGTTTTCTATCATGCATGTCCACAAGTCAGTAAGAATTCAAATGTATGTAGTAATGTATATGGTCATGCAGGATCTAGAACCCAAGATTTCCTATAACTCAAATACACTCTGCTCCCCTCTCCCTATTCTTCGTTAACTTTACCAAGATCAACATGCTGCTATCAAAGCCTGATGTTAGTCTACAATGCAGAATAACTTCAGAGTTAGGATGATTAGAGTTTGGGATGTATCAATAGCAAAATGCCAGGAAGAAGAGAATATCCCAAAACACAACTGGACAAGTCACAGACTACAGGAATGCCAAGAAAGGGCTCTGGGAGCTGTTGTCAAGCATCCCTGAAGAGATCACTATGGCAACAAGGGCCATAGTGATGGGTAAAGCACTGGAAACATTTCTTTGTAGATAAGCAGTACTCCTATCATGTCCCACTCAAGCCCGTGGTTTCTCAACCCTGGCTGCTTTCTAACTGTATAGATGCCCAGGGCCCGCCCAACACCTCACAGAATCAGAATAGGTGTGGTGTGGGGGACTGAGCATTTCTGGTTTTAAAAAAGCTCCTTAAGTACCTTGACTGGTTTGGCTCAGTGGATAGAGCATCGGCCTGTGGACTGAAGGGTCCCGGGTTCGATTCCAGTCAAGGGCATGTACCTTGGTTGCGGACACATACCCAGTAGGGGGTGTGCAGGAGGCAGCTGATCGATGTTTCTCTCTCATCGATGTTTCTAACTATCCCCCTCCCTTCTTCTCTGTAAAAAATCAATAAAATATATTTTTTTTAAAAACCCCAAAACAAAAACTCCCTAGGCAATCCTGATGCCCAGACCGGGTGTCTAGCCAATGCTTAGACTCACAGAGGTGGCAATGGCCCACAGAAGAGAGACAGAGGGTGTGAGGATGGATCAGCTTAGGATCCCTGTCTAGAAAGACAGAATCCAAGAGAGCATTTGGAGCTTAAATACGAAGAGGAAAAGCACATGGATGGGGGCAGTCCTTAAGGCTTCAAAATGCATAGGCAAGGGAGTCTTAGTTTACAGCGATAAGTTTAACATCCAAGCCAAATCCAGAAATGGAGTCAAGAAACACATAATGACTAATTAAAGGATGGAAGGAATATGTGAGGCATAAAAAGCCCTGAAAGTTGATTTCCTGAGGACATCTATGCCAGAACTAGTGCCAGAGGCAAAGTACTAGGTGAGTGCGGCATTCATTACACAAAAACATTCCATTTCTCTATTTTACACTTATCCATTCAACTATGTAGTAATTTATAATGGACAACTGATGTGTCAGGTATATGCTACAAATGGTATCCCTGGGAAACAGGAATCCATAATTTCCTCTTTATGCTAAAAGATATCTCCCAATGAAGGTCCTCACTGAATTCATTCATTCATTCATCAGACAGACATTTCTTGGATACCTACTCTGCCAGGCACTGTTCTAGATGTTGTGACTCCATCAGTAATAATGACAGACAGAAAGCCTTGCCCTCGTGGAGCTTATATTCCAGTAGAAGAGAGTTGAACAAACAAGTAAACCTAGCATGCCAGATGGTGATTAAGTGCTGTGGGTAAAATTAAGCAGGGTAAAGGGGACAGGGAATGTGGATACAATTTAACACAGGTGGCCAGAGAAAGTCTCAATAAAGTAATCCTTGAGTAAAAATCTGACAGATGAGGGAGTGGGCCATGGGAATATATGGGGAAGAGTGATTCAGGAAGAGGAAGCAGCAGGTCCAAAGGCATAATGGAGGGAGCTAATGGATTATTCAAGGGACACTGAGAAAGCCAGAATCAGGGAGAGAGTGGTGGGAGAGGACAGGGAGGTATCAGGGGGCCACTATGGCTTCTGGGTTAAGCAGTAAGGGTAGAAGGAAAACCCAAGGGGCAACAGTGTTGGTGTTAAGTGGTCATCCTCTAAAATACTTTCAAGGTAGAACAGACAGGATTTACTGTGGCAAGTAAGAGAAAGAGAGGAATCAAGGTGACTTCAAGGTTTGCGGCCTGATTCAAAGAATGGACTTGCCATTTACTACAATGGGGGAAAGACGATGGCATGGACAGGTTTTTGGAGAAAAGACAGGGATTTTGTTTGATATGCCTATTAGACACCCAAATAGAAATGGCGAATATGATACTGGGTAGATGAGTCTTGAGGTCAAGAAACTGAATGAGGCGAAGATGTAAATATATAAAGTAAGTCATATTGATTCCAATTTGTCCAGTCCCTCTACTAACTTTAAATCTTATGAATGCTCTATAGGCTCCTTTATCTTATAAAAGGGATGTGCCATAAAATGACCACGGTAGGGAGTGGTTCTGAAGCCAGACCTCATTGACTCACATCCCTGCTCCTTCCTGGCTGTGTGACCTGCTTCGTACAAAAAAACTACTCTGCTTCTTTACCAGGAGCACAGGGCTACAGTACCTACCTCATAGAGCTTTTGTATTACCGGAGAAAACACAGGGTGATCAAGACACTGAACATTACCTGGCACCATCACAAATGCTCCACCAGGGTGAGCACTTATTATCAATTCATGCATTCATGCAGTTCACTATGGAAACCTCAGGACACGCTCCAATAGCTGGGAGCATGGTATTGGGGATCAGGGCCAGGCAGGGAGATAGGTCGCTTGTAGCTGTGCACCTAGAAGAGGGGGGAGCTAAAAATAGGCCTAGGAAGTGCCGAAGCTACAGCGGTATCAACACCACTGTTGATGTGAGCAGACATCGGCTTATGGAGTGTTTTCTCTAGGGATTCGGCCCTGTAACCTTGTCATAAACCTTCAGGTGGGATGTCAGCGCTCAACAGGGGAGAGGATCACAGAATCTCTCTCTCTGGAACTGCCGCAAAAAAGGGCCAAAGAGGAGCCAGGACTTTCAGGGCCCACATCCTGCGGCCCGGCCTAAAGGCTGGCAGACTAGGTGCGACTCTCAGGTCGCCACGAAGGATCTGGGGAACTGGCGGGAACTGGGGGCCGAGTTCGCGGCGGGAGGTGCAAACAGGCCGGGCGTCCTCCGTCCTCTGAATGGGGAAGGCCCGCGGAGGATGAGAACCCCACGGGATTAGTGGGTGGGCCGGTCAGACAGCGAGGCCCGGGATAGGGGTGGCCGGGTGCCGGAGAATGAGGGGGCGGGGAGGGAGTGTGGCGCGCTGGAACCACCAGGCCCAGAGATCTATTTACAACCGAGGCCAAGGCGATGAGGCCGCGCCTCCCATGCCTATCAGCCCTCGGCCGGGTCCGCGAGGCGGAAGGGCGTCAGGGCCGCGGCCCCAGCGGCCTTCCCGACCCACTAGCTGGAGGACGGCAGAGTCGGGGCTGCCGGGAGTGATGGGCCGAGCCGGTGAGCCCGGCCTGAGGGGACGCGATGGGGGACGGCTACGGGACCCACTGCGCCACTATCTGGAAGCAGACAGGCCCCCCGCACTCCGGGGTGCTCACCCCTCGGGCCTGTGGCTTTTGGACCTTCCCCCGCCCGTTCGCTGGCCGCCAGCTGGACCTCGACGGCGCCTCCCCTACCTTCGTTCGCCAGGTCCGCCATTTTACTTCCTCAAGCCCTCCCACAAGGCTCCGCGCTGGCCGCTGCTCGCCTGCTTTCTGCCAGAAACTCTCGCGCGTGCGCACTTCCCAAGCCGACTCCGAGCGAGGAGGGCAGCTCGCGCCTGCGCGCCGACCTCGGCGCGCAGTCGAGCTCTGTACTGCTGTCACCGGCAGGCCCCGTTTGGAGCACTCGCCTGCGCACTAACCGCCCCCGCCTCCTTTTCCCGCCGATCGAGGGGGCGTGGCCAGGGCAGGGCGCATGCGCAGTGCCCCACACGAGCATCCCGGGCAAGGGGGAAATACACATGTTCAGTAAGGGAGCGCGGCTGGTGCTGGGTCTAGTCGCCTCAGTTTACTGCTTGTTTTCCGGGAATCCCAGTGGTGGGAGAGTGAGCCTTCCAGAGCGCCGCGATGGAAACCTTCTAGGTAAATCCTGGGGAGTCTGCGGACCGTGGCAGGGGGTCTTTCCACACGCACAGGTCAAAAGCCAGAGGGGGTGGCCTGCTAGGGGTTTTTGGCTCCCTGTCACTTCAGGCTTCAGTTTCCCCTTCTAAGGGGCAAGTACATTGGGCAAATGCTTTCTTGGGGACGTGGGGAGTGGTTGGGGCGAGCAAGCAGAAATCAGAGGTTAAAAATAACTGGCCAAAGGTGGGGGTGTCTATGGGGGACACAAGTGTTGGCTGGGGGACCCCGCGCAAGGGACTTGATCTCTAGTCTAGGCCAATAGAATGGGAGCTCCAGGATGGCCATACCTGATGTCATGAATGAAACAGCGCCCTGGCACAGACCAGGCCTGGAGTTTCATCTGTAAATGGGCTGATCAACCCCACAGGCTGATGTAAGAATCTAGAATGGGATTCATTCTAGATTCACCTGCTATGAATTTCTCAGAACACCCTGTGGTTCTACCTCACCAAAGCCTAGCCCAGACCCACCTGTTGTCATCAGCTTGGCTGTCAGCACCCCAGGCCAGACCATCCTCCTCTTTCTCCTGGAAGACTAGACAGTGTCCTCTCTCTTTGCTCTCCTTCCTTTCATTCTTCTGGAGCTCCAGCTTTGTTCTGCACACAGCAACATGCGCAGGAATCTTTTAAAAATATAAGTTGGATCAAGGGCACATCTTTCCTTAATGTTTCCAAAGGGCTTTTGCTGAACTTGGAATCGACTCTAAACCTCTTATTCAGACTTACACAGGTCCCTGGGCTTTTCTCCCAGGCTCCCCCTTACTTACTGCAGTTCAGCCACAGGGGTCTTTCCATCCTTGAAGCACACTAGACTCCTTTCAGCCTCAGGATCTTTGCATTTGTTGATCCCTCTTCTTGGGACTTTGTGTCCTATGGCTTATTTAGGTTTGAATCCCAGTTTCGCTCCTTCTCCAGGGGGATCTAAAGGAGGAGGTCTCTAGCTTGTGAGCTAAGAATGGTGTTACATTTTTAATTGTTGGAAAAAGCCAGAAGAGGAGTAATATCTTAGAACATGTGAAAATTGTATGGAATTTAAATTGGAGTGTCCATAAACAGTTTTATTTGAAAATAGCAATATCCTATATAATAAAAGCCTAATATGCAAATTGTCCTCTTGGGCACGAGTTCGACTGGGAGTTTGATTGCTCTCTATGACATGCGCTGACCACCAGGGGGCGGCATGGAACGAAGGAAGGCCCCAGTTGGTAACCAGCATCTGAGGAAGGGAGGCCCTGGCCAGCAGCCGGAAGGCTCCAATCGGCCCTGATTGAGAGCCAGGCCTAGGGACCCTACCCGTGCACGACTGGCCTCTAGTATTCATTATATGTCATTACATATAATCCCTTCTTGGCCTTTGCCATATCTCTGAACCCTGTGACCTTTAATGAATTCTTTCCCTGCCTTTTTATTGGTTTAAAGTTGTTAAATAGATACTGTATATCATTTAAAATAGAAAACTGCCAGCCATGAATAGGAGGTGATTGTAAAAATAAACAGGGCCCTGGCTGGTGTGGCTCGGTGCTGTCCCATGCATGGAAAGGTCACAGGTTGGATTCCCAGTCAGGGCCAATGCCCTGGTTGTGGGCTTGACCCCCAGTAGGGGGCTTGCAGGAGGCGGCAGATGGATGTTTCCCCCTCTCCCTTCCCCTCTCTCTTAAAAAAAAATCAATAAAAACATTTAAAAAATATCAAAAAAATAAACAGGAAAAATGAGGTTTTAAAATTTTGGGTGGCTACTGTTGCCTGCCAAGGTGCTGAGCCTGCCTTTTCTAAAGAGATTAGCAAAGTATTAGAGGGTGATTAAAGGCATATTATCACTTACCTGAACTTTCTCCTTGACATGATGAGAAGGCGTGACAGATAATTGAAAATGGGATAACTATAATCCATGTGATTTGGTGTCATTTAATGCCATGTCTACATGTCTCCTAAAGTCATTTCATACTCTACATTCATCCCACACTTTGGGAAACTCCCAGAAACACGTCATTACTTGGTAAATATAATCCAGTTGTGGTTTTCCAAGGCACATTGAGAGATGCTAAACCTATCAGCCTGATAGGCCAACTGAATTTCCACTGGTTACACAATTTTCATCACAGTGCCCGTGGCTGCCAACACCATGCCCTGCAGGCTTTCTTTTGATATCTTTATTTGGTCTCCTCTAAGAAATTAACTTAGTCAATATTTATTAAACAAATATTTGCTCGTCACCTACTCTGGTGGTTTTAAAATATGGCCCCAAGTTATTTGACCTTCTTCCCATCAAGAGCGAAGTCTCTGTCCCCTTCCCTTTCATGGGGATGAGCTTGTTGCTGGTCCATCAACAGAGTATAGTAGAAATGACACCAGGGAACTTACAAGGCTAGGTCATGACAGAGTGAGGGGAGGTAACTTCCGCCTGCTTTGCTGGCACACTTGCTTTTAAAAGTCTTCAGCCATCATGTAAGCAGCCCAACTGCCCCGAGGCAGCCATGCTGTAAGGAAGCTGAAACACAGAGACCATAAACCCCCTGAGAGAGAACTGCCGCACCTATGCCTTGCTGTTTCTCACCTTCAGAAACCATGGAAGATAAATTAAATGATGGTTGCTGTTATAAGCCACTGAATTTGGGGGATATTTGTTATGCAGCAATATATATCCGCCAGACCTACTATGCATCAGACACTGCTTTACATGTTGGGGTCCAAGATGAACAAGACAGACCTTGCCTTCCCGGAACTTTGCATTCTTCGGTGGGGAGACTGACAATAGGCAGGTAAGCAAAATCATTTGAGATAGTGACTAGTGCTACAAAGAAAATAAAATAGCATATTGTGACACAGTGACAGAAGGGATACTTTAGATTGGTTGGTCAGGGAAGTAGCCTCTGAGGGGTGACATTTTAGTAGATCTGTAGGAGAAGCACTCTAGACAGAACAGTGAGTGCAAAGGTCTGAGGCAGGAACCAGGTTGGTGAGCTGCAGGAGCAGTGAGGAGAGCTGTGTGGGCCAGGACAGAGTGAGGAAATGCGGTTAGGGAGGGGCGCGAGCGAGAAATTTGGTGTTTTTCCTAATACAAGGCTTGGAAGTGGGAAGTGGAGGGATCCAAATTGTTTACCTTAAACTGCTGATCAGCCTCTCTGCTGCCTGCTTCCTCCTTAGCTTACTAGGAGACAAGTCCGAGGTACCCCTGAGCCCGGCTGAGCTCTGAGAACTGTGAACTTCCTTATCCACAGCCAAGATGGAAAATGGCTTGTATAGCTGGGCTCCAGGTAAAAGCCTTCACAACTGTAATTCAGTTCTTGTTTTCCCATCGTGGGCAGGGAGCCAGCCATGTGAAAAAGTATCTGCCTTGTGCCCAGCCTCACACTGAGGTCAAGACCCAGAGATGAATCAGATACAGTTCCCTCCGTCAGGGAGCTTAGAGTCAGGTGGGGACAGAGGGGAGGCATCGGGTTGCCTCTCCGGCTCAGCACCGTTCCCTGTCTTCCGTCTGTGAGTTTCTCACAGTAGGATGTCCAATGTGGCTGACACTGACACAGAGGGCAACCCCTGACCTAAGCTGGGTGCGGCAGTTAAATATGGTATGGAAATACTTACCTTACTCTATTTTATTTGTAATTAAAACATTTTTTAACTTTTGTCTTAGCGGTGTGGCTCAGCTGGTTGGACGTTGTCCTGTGTACCCAAAGGTTGCCTGTCCGATTCCCAGTTAGGGCACATGCCCGGGATGGGAGCTTGAGATCCTGGTAGGGAGCGTGCAGGAGGCAGCTGATGGATGTTCCGCTCTTCCATGGATGTTTCTCTTTCTCTTTCCCTCTCCCTTCTTTCTCTAAAAGTCAATAAAAATATTATTTAAAAGTTTTCACTTTCAAATTAAACTAAATTCACTTACCAAAAATGCAGAAATAGTACCAAGACATTACACATAGCTTCACCCAGATTCCCGAATATTCACATCTTAGGTAAGTGAAATGACCAAAACCAGGAAGTTAACATTGATGCAGTACTGTTCACTAATGTACAAACCTTAGTCATATTTCATCACTAACATTTATTTTCTGTTCCAGGATCCAGTCCAGTATCCCTCCATAAATGACATCCACTTGGATGTTGTTTCTCCATAGTCCTTCGGTAGGGATCAATTCCTCAGCCTTATTTTTCCTTAACCATGACACTGTTACAAGTACTGCCCTATTTTTTGTAGAATGGCCTTAATTTTTGTTTTTTAATGTTTCCTAGTGATTAAATTCTGCTGATGTATTTTGGGCAGGAATAATGTGGGAGTGATGTGTTCTCAGGGTGTCCTATTAGGAGGCACTTGATGTAGGTTTGTGTCCTCACTGATGATAACTTAGATCAATAGGTCTATGGTATCTGCTAGGTTAATACTTTTCCCCTTGTAATTATTTAATATCTAGCCGGGATATAAATAAATAGGGAATATTTGAGGAAAAGGAGAGGCAGAGGGAGGAAAGAGCTTGTCTTTCTAGGCAGTATTGCAATTTAGTAAACAAAGCCCCCATTCTAGGCAAAATCTGAGCTCACAGTGTCTGTGGACCAAAAGGAAAAGGCTGTGTCTCACAGTGACCACTGGGAGGTGGCAGAAGATTGGGATTAATTAAAAATGGCTCCAGGAGAAAAGCAATTCATTCCTTTTTTATTTTATTTTATCGTATTTTTAAAATATATTTTTATTGATTTCAGAGAGGGAGAGGGCGAGAGAGATTGAAACATTAATAATGAGAATCATTGATCAGCTGCCTCCTGCACGCCCCATACCGAGGATCGAGCCTGCAACCCAGGCCTGTGACCTGACCGGGAATCAAATCTTGACCTCTTGGTTCATAGGTCAATGCTCAACCACAGCCATGCCGGCTGGGCTTTTCCTTATTTTTTTAAAAAAATATTTTAAAAATTGATTTTAGTGAGGGTAAGGGAGAGAGCGAGAGCAAGAAAGAGAAACATTGATTTGTTGTTCCACTTATTTATGCATCCATGGGTTTATTCTTGTGTGTGCCGACTGGGAATGAACCTGCAACCTTGGTGCATGGTATTGGGACAATCTAACCAACTGAACTACCCGGCCTTTCTAAGTAAACTTGTGGGGACTCAAAGGCTCTGCACCTGTTGGGGGTCTGGCATCTCTTGGGAACAAGGTCAGTAGGTGCTGGCTGCACCAGCAGAGGTTGAGCATATTTCAGTTGCACTGCGCCTGGCAGCTCTGAGGATCATGCTGTCATCGGTACGCATGTGCCACCTCAGAAACAGGGGCTCCAGATCCTGGGAGGGCTTCCGAGGTCTGAGAATCCCTACTGATCCTGCCTGCAAAACTCCTAGGGGCGCTGGCGGGGTGGCTCAGTTGGTTGGAGACTCCTCCCATACAGCAAAAGGTTGTGGGTTCGATTCCCAGTCAGGGCACATACCTAGGTTGTCGGTTTGGTCGCCGGTGGGAGCATGTATGGGAGGTAACCGATCCATGTTTTTCTCTCTCCCCCTTCCTTTCTCTCTAAAATCAATAAAACAACAACAACAAACATCCTAGAATGAGGATTTAAAAAACACACCAAAAAACTCATGGGAACTAAGGTGTCTTGCTTTGGAGACTGGTTGCAAACCCCAAAAACTACCTTTGGCCAAATGTAAAGAAAGGGGGAATTTGCTTGAAAGTTAAGAGGATGCTAAGATCAAAGAGGAGAAAACACTGGGCAGTCCCAGCAGGTCTTGGCTGGGAATTGTTTAGCATTATCAGAGGGGCACCTCGTGAGAATGCCCCAAATTCAGTTGTTTTCAGTCTTACAGTCATTCAACTCCCTGGTCAGATTCCAAGCAGCAAGTATTGCATGGGCCCAGCACCACAAGGCATTTATCAATCTCTGCCCTGCCTAGGGTCCCACCTCTATCCAGTTCAAGCCTCCATCAGATGTTGATTGAGTGCCTCTAGGTGCCCAGCTGTTGGGGAGATGCCATTTGAGGTATCTTGATGCCAGTGGGGGCATCCAGTGGGCAGTGGTACATATGAGGGCTAAGGGAGGGGACTTTTCAACCCATTTTGTAGTTATTGGCCTCTCACTTATGGGCCACCATCCTGGAATGAAACCCCAAGTTCCTGCCAGGATCTAGGCAGCCTTCCTTATCTCCCCCCATTTGCCCTTCCCGCCCCATCTGTCACGCTGTGCCGGCCATAGTGGCCTCCTTGCTGCTCTCCACACGACAAGTCTGTTCCAAGGATGTGAGAGAACCCACATAGAAATTGGGTTCTATGGGAGAAAGGTCATCCCCAAAGAAGGTGGGACAGAAGCTGGATAGCAAAACCCCACAATTGTCCATCACAGAGGATTCTAGAAGGGACCCATAACCTCAAAATAGGGTGAGAACTACTCTCTGGCATTGTGCCTTTGGATACATATGAATATTCAATACATTACAGTCCAATACCACACACACACACACACACACACACACGATATACACATTTATACTGAAATTAAGATTTTATAAAGCCATGCTTATTTTTATTATGTTGACACTCCTGATCTTTTCTATCTTAGTCCATTAAAAAGAAAACTGAACTGATCCTAAGTCACAAGCATGATTTTATAACCCACTCGGCCTGCCGCTGGACAGTGGCTCTAGCAGGCCTCGGCCCTCGTCCCCCCTTCCCCTACCACACTCAGTTCAGCCCCTAGAGCCTTCCTTGTAGACTTTAACAAGTACCTAGTTGACCTCCTTGCTTCCAGTTTCTTCATGTTTAATCCATCCTTCCAGAATCAGTCCAGCTTTAAAAATTCTGACGGTGGCCTCCCAAGTTTCGCTTTGTCTATTCCTCATCTTTCCTCCACATTTTCTCTCCTTTCCTCTGACTTCCCATGATCCCCAGGCATAGTATCTTCTCCTAGAGGCCTTCTTCATTCATTAATTCACTCACTCATTCACTAAATGTTTGCTAAGCATACAGTGTGCTAGAATTGGGAAATAGTCTTGAGCAAGGCAGACAAGTTAACACCTGCAGTGGGGTGTGTAGGTGCATCTATGGGTCCCCCTGCACTCCCTTTCCGCCCAACTGTGGCTTATTGAATTCTGATGGGGCCATTAAAGCTATAATGATCACCAGGGACCCAGGCTCCTTCTGTCACATTGCTTTGCCGTCCTTATTAGATAACATCCACCTCAAGATCTAAGCTGGCTGTTGGTGCTCCAGCCATCATGTCTGCATTCCAGCCAGCAGCTTCAATTCCCCCATGTGTACAATCGGGGTAGTACCTGCCTTGGAAGATCGTCAAAAAGAGGAAATCAGACCAAAGTGTCTATTGTGGAGCTCCTGTGATTAGGCAGAAGCTCCCAGAGGCTCTTGGTAGGATGAGGTTCCCTCCATTGTGCAATGCCTGCTTCCCAGAGCCCTTACCCAGTGGGCCCTCCAAGGAACTTGGCAGCCTGTGGGACTTCAGCAGGTTCCCTTGCTCATATCTCTGACTCCTGGGGCAGTAATCACGTAGGCACCACCCATGTTCAATCCACCCCCACTCAGACCTCAAGGGCAGGGCCTGATTCTCCTCCAGGGACCCTGCCACCCAACACCCAGCCTGTTTCTCTGAAGGGGAAGGCGGGGGAGGGGGGGTGGCCTACTGTTTGGTGCAGAGCTATTGTTGCTAAGTAGCTGAAATTGTGAATCACCAGAGAGTAGGGGGGAGTCTGGGTTCCGTGAGACTGGCCGGGAATCAGCACAGTGTCAGGGCCTGAAGAAGAGGGAGTTCACCAGGATCAGCCATGGAATTTGTGGGGCCCAGTGAAAAGGAAAATGTAGGCCCTTTGTTCCAAAATTAAGAATTTCAAGATAGTGACAGAAGAGCATCAAGCCAAGCACAGACCCTGGAGTCCCAGCCCAAGGAAGTGATGGACAATTTTAGTGTCACCTGGAGGCCCCATCATAGAGGATTCTAGAAGGGACCCATGGCCCAGGGCCACTTCCTGGGACAGAGAGGCCTGCTCTGGGGCCTAAGGCCGAGCATCCCTAGGGGCGTGTGGGGTACTGGCCGGGCAGTAAAAAGCGGAGGCTGATCAGGAATGGCATCACTCTTCTCTGCAGGGTTTCTTCAAAGTCCTATGATCCCCAGTGTCACACTCCCCTGGGAAGTGGTGGTCACAATATGGATTCCCAGATCCAGCCCAATCCCAAGAGGCAGGCTTTCTTCAGCTGGGGCCCAGGGATTGGCTAGTTTGGAGCAAGCTCTAGCATTGGTTCTTAGGAGATTCTGGATTTGCCAGCCACCCCCCCCGCCCCCCAAATAAACCTTGAGAACTGGTGGGCTGCTTCAGTGGCTGGAGTATGGATTTATTCTGTAATATTTGAATGAATTTACTCGGTTTACAAATGGCCTCGACCATCCTGTGCTAGGAATTGTTTCTTGCCATCTTTGGCCCTGGACTGGCCTTGCTAAGTGAAGCTTGAAGAACATGCTCCTTCTCCAAGCTGCTGTTCCGAGCAAGCTGGGAGGGAGCATCTACCCTCCAGCACCCTGGGGTGGGAGGGGGCTGGAGTGTGGATTGTGACCCCCAAATGGGTATGCTTAATGTGTTTACTGCAATGAAAAACGCGAACAGGCTCGGAAGACTCGTGTCTTTACTGTCATTTGTAGTCCTCCTCGTGGAATCCTGCAAAGGACACGGCAGAGCCTAAGGCAGAACCCAGCTGACACTGGGAAAGAAGAGGCCATCACAGTGCACGCCCCGTGGCTTCAGGGCCTTCCAGCAGAGGAGATGTATATTTAAGAACATTCTCTCTGTCTGATTTTATCTAAGTCTTGAACGCTAAGCCCAGACAGACATTGTGATCATCATGGACTTGGGGTTTCTACAGTCAGCGAGTCTCTTTCTTGCCATTTCCTCCCCCACCACCACCCCGCACACCTGGCGAGGGCCGAGGTGGGCCCAGCGCTCCTGCTTGACGTGAATGAGATAAAATATTGGGGACCAAATATACTGCAATACACATTATTAAGAAATGTTCTAACAACAATTGGAGCACAGAACTATTGGTATAAAGATATTTCCAAAGAGAGAAACATTTGCATTGCATTAGATGGCGCTTCCTAGACTAGAGGTTTGTCTTTCTTTGCAGTTGCTTTTGGGACAGGACTCTCACACGGAGCAACCAAGTGCGTGTTGCTATTGGGACACAGATTGGGAGTTGAAAGTTCAGGGCTGTCCAAGTCCTTGGGATTTGTTTGTCCCCAGAAAAGGTCTCTACTTCAATCAGCTCAAGGTGGGACCTGCCCAGCATCACCGTTCTCCAGGATCACCAATTCCAAGGCAGGCGTTCTGGAAGATTCTGTGGACCACACTGCAGGCACGGCTATTGGCGCAGCTTTGGCGGGATGGCGGGCTTCTGAATGCACCACTGGAACACTGACTGCCTGGGCCCCCTTGGATCAGACGCGTTGCAGACTCAGCGGTTGGCTTCATGTTGGCTGTAGCCTTGGACAGACCCACAGTCCTTCCTGGTGCTGGTAATCCTTCTGGTGTTAATTCTTAGCACAGCGGGCCTATTTCTGTGACTTGTTCTTTGAGCCACATGGGCCCATGGGCTGCCTGCCATCTAGGGACACGCTGTGTGGACCTTTAGAGTCTAGAAGTGGGGCCCTGGGACCTCCCTGCTTCAGCACAGGACAGGAGGCCGAGGACAGTCTGTCTACGAGAGGCCATGGGGT